GTGTTCTTCTTAAGAGCCTGGCAGGAACATTCTTGTGAATTCGCAAGTTATATGCTAGTCTAGTGTTTTCAAATTGGGCTATAGATACTCCTAAGGAAACACAAGGTATTCTAGGGGGTATTGTGCTATTCTGGAGGCTGATGGTATTCTGGACCAAAGGACAAACTTTCAGATAGTCAACAAACATATGTACTTTTTACTGAAATTTATTTACCTGTATACGAGTTCTTCTTTCCTATCTCCCTTATTTCAATTGCCCTTCCCCAAAAGATAGGTATACATCACACCTATCCTCAGCATTACTCTGGTGTTTTGCCCATGGTGTAAAAAACTCTGGGCTTGAAACAAAGAACTTCTATCTTTTGGTACCAGAACCCAAAGTGTGGCTTCTGTCTTTTCTTGGCTTACACATATTTCTGGTAAAGGTGAACCGTGGCATGATAAATGAAGTATTTTTGCCCACGGTGGAATGTTCTGAATTCAGATAAGCGGAGCTATGCGGTTATGGGGAATTATGATAATTTTCTTTTAATATTCCCACCTCTTCCATTCCTGAATGATTGTCAAAGAACCCTAAGGAAGTGTTAAAGAGTTTTGTCAGTTCAAACTGACAAAAACTGAAAAAGTCCACAGAAAGTTTGGGCAAAAGGACAGTGATCCCAGATGGAGATCAGAGATGCAGAAGGAAAAGCAAAGAAAGTGATAAAAGTCTGGGTAAACATTTTTAAAAATAATTCTAAAATGTAGTGATACTAATAATGTTTATTGAGATTCAAAGAAAAGATACACCTAAAATACTAGATAATAATTTTATATATGTTGAAAGAATGGGTAATGAAATTAAAGCATCCGAAGATCCTTGTGTTATCCAGAAGAAAGACAATAACTTTGTTTCATATTTTAGACACCGATGAATTAAGCATGCATGTTTTATCTAAAATTGTAAATCAGAGAGCGAAATCTCTAAATAACTAAAGGGAAACGTGAAATAGTAAAATAATTCAATTAATTAAAATAAAATGAATAATAATACAATTTGAAAAAGAAACAGAACATCTGAAAAGAACCCAAATTAAGATAGATTCAAGTCCATCATGGAGCTTACATGTTAGGGGAGGAAACATACAACATACACGTGAAATGAATAAATATGTTATATCACATAGTAGTACATGCTGTGAAGAAAAAACAAATAGGGTAAAACACTACATGTTACCCTAGGAGGAAACTAATTTTAGATAAGGGAAGATCTGACAGAAAGAGAAAAAGGAAGCAGGACTCCAAGGCTTTTTATCTTGAACAGGAAGAGAGGTTGAGAAGAGGCAGCCAGTGATGTTAGAAAAACCCAGAGTATGGCCTGGTGTCTCAACCAGAAGGGCATGAACAACTGTGAAGCTAAGAATGCCTGGTTAATTTACTACACACATCTTTCCCAGACCTGGGGAACATAGTCAGTAGCAGGCTTAGCATCAAGAAGAGTTCACCACAGTCCCAGTAGGCACATGTAAACCTACAGAGCACGGTGGCTAAGTGCAGGGACCCTAAAGTCAGATGACCTTGAGCTGAATGTTGGTTCTATCTCTTTCTACTTGTGAGCTGTGTGATCATAGGCAAATCCTTTGTGATTTGGTTTCCTCACCTGTAATATGGGTATAATAACACTTGTTTCCTCTGGTTGTCCTGATTAAATGAGTTAATATTCATAAAACACTTAAAATATACTTGGCATGAAGTAACCATCACATTAAGTCCTTGTTAAAAACAGAAAAATCTTACAATGGTCAAGATAGGAAGGACAACATGGCTTGTAAAGTACCGACTTACATTCTCAACAGGTTCAAGTTGGCACTGGACGTATGTAATTGAATTAATCAGCATGACTGATAGAATAATTATATTGTGATTAAAAAAACAGCAGGGAATACACTATGGTTGGAACATGTCTAGTTCTTTGCTGTAGTGTATGGAATTAAAGATGTATTTTCTTTAAAATATTTTTTTTTCCACATTTTTATTTATTTTTGGGACAGAGAGAGACAGAGCATGAACGGGGGAGGGGCAGAGAGAGAGGGAGACACAGAATCGGAAACAGGCTCCAGGCTCTGAGCCATCAGCCCAGAGCCTGACGTGGGGCTCGAACTCACGGACCGCGAGATCGTGACCTGGCTGAAGTTGGACGCTTAACCGACTGCGCCACCCAGGCGCCCCTAAAGATGTATTTTCATATCAAGTTCTATTTCAATTGTCCTAAGGAATGTCCTATGATATGCTTATTGGTTTGGAGCCCTAACCTTTTGCAGTTGGATTATACCCCTTTCTCTTTCTAATCTAAAATGTCCTCAGATGCAAAGTGAAAATAATAAACATTTTATCCACATTAACAGAAGAAATAGAATCCTTTCCTGGGACTAGGGATTACAAAGAGCCAAACAAGTCACTTTTGTATAAAACGCTGAAGTAGATGCTTTGAAGGTTTCATACAAATTAATAACTCTTATTAAAGTGAAAGATAAAATGCATATCACAAGGAAATTACACAATGGCTGTATATGGCTAATCAATGATAAGGTAATATTGTGAGAGGTAAGACAAGGCAGAGCTCACTGCTGGTTGTAAGTTTCATAAGTGAAGTGAGACTTTTATTTGAGTCTGGGTAAAGGGAGTCATTACAATTATTACATTTGAGGATATGCAAGGACTGAATCTCTAATGTGAACTTCCTTAGGAAATTACTAGAGAAAGGGCTTCAGCAAAATAAAGGAATAAACTAAAAGGAAGATACTAGATTCCTAAAACCAAGGCTCCAATATAAGAGAAGGGCAAAGGGAAGTGTCAGGATGACAGCTATTCCAGGACTAGAGAGTCACATGCACATTTTGGAGCAAGAGAATGGAGGGGTGAGGGAGGGGGAAATTGAAACGGATAGGTGATTTGATGTGTTTCAGGGTTTCATTTGATATGATAGATGTAAGGTACTAGATCCCCTGGAGCATTTGGAAAAAAGCAATAGGTGAATCAAAAACACCACCACCAAAGACAAATGGAAGAACAACATATTTATTAACTTGAGGGGGACAGGTGTAAAAAAAAATAATATCACATTACTCATCTCAACAGTGAATGATATTTACACAGTCATGATAAATACTACTGACTTATCCAAATATTGCTACAGAACTATTTGCAGAATGGGGTGGAAAGAGGAGTAAAAGACTTAATCCTCAACTACCCTAATTTTAAAGATAATTTTTATGCCACTAAAAAAATAGCAACATGCGATTTAGAAACAGGGGGTTACATTCCAGAAGAAAGAGCCAAAAAAGTTGGAAGCCTTGCCCCTGAGGAGTGAACTTTGGGGGAGTGTTTTGGTGGAGGGGTAGGCCAGTTTTTCATTGCAGGCCTTGAAAAAACATTACATGGAAAAACAAAACAAAACACAATTGATTACAAATTAAAGGGGTAAACAGGAAAATCAAAAGATTTTGAGAAGTGATCCTACACAGGGGCCTGACAGAACAAGCAAGAAGATCTCTTTCATTCATACAACAAATATTTATCAAGCACTGTTCTGATCCAGGCACTAAGCTAGGCCCCAGGAATACATTAGTGAATGAAAACATATGTGGTCACTGTCCTCTGGAGCTTATGTCTACTAGAACATATAGACAACAAGCAAAAATACATACATACATACATACATACATACATACATACATACATAAGACATGAATGAAATACAGATTGTAGTAATAAGTGATGTGACTAGAAAAAATTATTGTGATAGAAAATGGTGGTGAGGGACTTCCCTTAACAGAAATAGCCCTTCTGAGATGAGCTGAGACTGGAAACACATGAAACATAAACTAAGGATGGGTGTGTATAGACTCCCAGGCAGTAAGTCTGGTGGGTCTAGAAACGGTTAGAAAGCCACTGTGGCCAGAAGCACCAGAGGTGAGCAGGATGATGGCTCTAGATGAGGTTAGAGAAGTAGCAGGACCCATATCATGTTGCTATAGATATCAGTTTGGGGAGTCTTTAAGTGGTAGATGTTTAAAGGCAAGAGAAGAGAGTGTGGAGTATAATCCATAACTTCATCCGGAGGAATTCCAACATTTAAATGGAACCAGTAAGAGACTGCAGAGGTGGGGCCAATAAGGAAAGGCACAGCAGGGAAGTCTGGAAACTTCCTCAACAATACTGTAACGTTTCTGTCATTTTTCTAAAACTGACCTATTGTTTGCGTTTATCTTGACAAGGTGCGTTTCATTTTAGTTTTCAGATTTTTGCATCAGTTCTGGAAATAACTAGAGATATTTATATCCTAGAAAAGTCAATTTACAATTATCTAGAAAGTTATTTCCTCATCCCCATTGTAAATTATTCCAGGGTAGCCCAGGATCTTCGTTCGAATCCCAGGCACTGGGGTCCCCCCTCTGTGTTTCTGTGGGGTCATATGAAACAGTGCTAGGATTTCAACTGAATTATCCTTGGGATCATCCGGAGATGCTTGCCCCCGCCCCCTTGAAGGGTAAACAACACGCCATGCACTGTGGGTACTGTAAGGAATGGAACACGCTGCCTGGCCTATGGCCTGGGACGTAGCACTGAGCTCAGCGGCCGTCATCTGCATGGTGGTGCGGTTCCGTTGCTTTGGGGACCCCTGAGATTAGAACCTGCGGAGCCATGGCCGCGGGGGGCGCCGCCCCAGGTAACTCAACAGCGCGCAGGGCCCAGGCCCCGAGCCTCGCGGATAGCCTTGGAAAACAGAGACCACAAAAAAGATGAGGGTCCAAGGAGGCAGGCGGAGACCTCGTTCCCGGGGGCCCAGAACCTGCGCCAGCCCGAGGGCGGTCCACGCGCCGCCTCCTTGCGCTCTTCGTCAGACGGCGGCGGCGGTTACTGCTTCCGAGGTCATTTTACCCGGACGTATCTTTAGGGTGCAGACCCGGAGACCGCCTGCGGGAGCGGGCCAGCCAACCAGCGCCCAAACTTCGGGGCAAATGACTCCCGTCTGCCCTCGCCCGGCTCTCGGCTACCATTTCTTTCCGTGTTTGCTCCGCTCAGTGTTTAAAGACGCGCGCAGCGCAGCGCCGAGAGCAGAGGCCGCGGGGCCGCCCCGGCCGCTGTCCAGCACTCGCAGCCTGAGTCGGGGCTGCCGCGGCGCCAGTAATGTCGGGGCCCAGACTGACAGGACACCCCTTGCAGGGAGTGGGGAGGCTGGGAGCCCGGCCGCCCCTCCCCAGGGCCGCCCAGGTTGGGGGAGGAGGAGGAGGAGCAGGAGCAGGAGGAGGGAGATGAGGAGACCAGCGGGCGGGCCCCGAGCAAGCCGCGGTGGTCTGAGCGGTGTGGGAGCCTGAGCAGCCCCTAGGGAAATGCTTCCTTCCTGTTGTGTGTGCGGGAAGCCACCGAGGCCGTTCCCGCGCAGGTTGGACCCGTGCGCTGAGTTGGAAAAACTTGAAAAGGCGCAGTAGTTTCCCAAATCCGCTTTCCAAGAAGGGTTTAAATCTCGCCTCCCCTCTCAGCCAGAACTGTGGGCTCGTCCGGGAGTCGGTGGGCGGGGCGAGGAGTTGTTGGCGGGAGATTTACATTTTTGGCGGCTGAACTCATTCTGAGTCCACTTGTTCCCTCTTTTCTCTCGTTCTGCTCTGCCATGCCCTGCTCTGAAGCGACACCCACCGTCTCCCCCAGCAAGCGGGCTCGGCCTGCGGAGGACGCCATGCGGCTCCGCTTTGTCCGGCTTTCGGAGCACGCCACCGCCCCGAGCAAGGGGTCCGCGCGGGCCGCGGGCTACGACCTGTACAGGTGAGTGGGGATTTCCCGCCGCCTTCTGCGCGTGGCATCCCTACCCCACGCAGAGAAGGTGCAGGCCTGGAGTTGCAGAGTTCTCAAGTTAGCTTATATTCTTGCCATCTGCTGCTACAGCTTGAAACTTTCACTTAACAGATTACAAAAACAAACTCCTTTTGCATTTATGTAGGATTTCAGTTTTTTTTTTTTTTTTTTTTTTTTTTTTACTGTTGAAAATGTTAGTTTTCCTCTTTAGCATAAATTCAATAAGGATTTGGGATAAGCATGCAGAATGGTAACTACATGTAAATGTCCACCAAGGCATTATTTGTTTTGCAACATTTATTTTACCCTTTCCTGGTGGAAGGTAGAAATGAATAAGGCCCACCTTGGCCTTCAAGGAGTGGCCTGAGGGTGATGCAGTGGGCAACAGGAAGAGAAGCTAAGGTGGAAGTCTAGGTGCTGAGTATGAAAATACATGAGGAGGATTCATGAACGATGCTTCTGCCTTAAAGGATTTGTAAAATTTTTCTGTATGTTCATATTTAAGTTCTGCCCAAGGACTGGGAATGTCAAAAGGGTACAAATCAGAAAAGCAGTGGGAATGTCAGTAATACTACCTACCACCCTTTGCTTTGTTCAGCACCTTTTCCCTCTACTAAAGCCTTTACGTGTGGGCACTTTTATTGAATCCTCGGGACACTCCTGAAGTAGATAAGTGTTACTTTTTTACAGATGAGGGAGTTTGTGAAGAGCTGAACTGATTGCTCAAGGGCTTGAATGTAATAAAATTTTTGACCCTTAATTCAGTGCTTTTTTCCCTTGACTACTGTGCCCAGTTCTTAGAACCATTAAGGTAGGTGAAAAGTGATACTGGGGGTTATGGGTGTTTAATACAGGACTAAATCCTTAGGATTTACTTTAAAGCATGCCGGGTAATTCTAATGTGAGAACTACTGGTCTCAGTCATAAGCACAGGAGGAGGGGAGAAAGGAGTGTGTGACAATAGGAAAAGGAAGGTGAGGTATAGTCTGTTAGAGCTGAAAGGGATGTGGTCAGTCCCTTAGTTTTCGTGGCTAAACGTGGAGTGATGTAGTTTGACTGCATCATGTCTGGGCACTGTTGTGAGTCAAATGAGAGATGTTGATTTAAGATACTTTAACATCCTCCTAATGAATAGAGATGACTGTATACTGAGATAGACATGGAAATAACTTCCCTCTTTAATAAATTAGGGCTTAACTATGGAAAGAGGAAATTCCAATGAAAGAAGTGAAAATGTTAATACTGCTTTACTAGTTTTCACTAAGGTCTCCAAAGTAACTTAACAGTTCTGCTCATTGTAAAATCTCTTAAATTTCTATCAAGAAGGGGGCTACAGTAAGAGCAATAGTAGCAGCATTTGATGGGTGGATCTTAGAATATTGGGTTCTCAGCAGTGTCCTTCTCCAGGGCCTATTGACAGTGATCAGCTCTGTCCCCAACCTGTGAGGTTCGAGGCTTCA